TTCAGCCACTGTTGAAACTGATCAGTTTCAGCAGCGGCTGAATCTGGATGCCAGTTCCGACTTACATACAGATTCAACTTAAGAACAAACCTACAGTCCCTATTTTGTACGTAACCCGGGGACTGCCTGTATATCAAACATATATTTGCATGGGGGCCTAGAGTTCTATGGGGATCTGTTCCCACTGTCTTTGGTGCTATTTCAATGTCAATGAATGTTTAACCTCAAGTCCAATCCCAAAGGATGTGGGCCTCCTTTGAGATTGGTTCCCCACTCCTGCTCTAAGGCCTTGGGGCTAGATGCAGCCCCCCGAGGCTCAGTGAACCCCCCAGCATTGGGGAGCTCGTGCTGATGCTCCATCCTCCTGCAGGGCTGGAGCACACAAAATCTACTAGCCTGGGTCCCCCCCCAAGGCTCTGGTGTGTGAGGGGAATGTGGAGAATGCCTTGTCTTATTTTTAACAGCCTGGGGTGTATTGGGGGGGTGGAGCTGGGGGAGAGAGATGGATGAAATAATCTTTGCTTGCTGCAGGGTTCAAATAGGTATTTGCTATTAGATAGGCTGCTTTCCCGATAGCCTGATTGCATGATCCTATCACAGACTCCGCACCTAGATACCTCAGAATCAGTGTATGGAGACTCATGCAGGTTGGGGACCTCTCTCTCGAGTGACCACTCTATCTAGCTATGTTTTATAAGCAATCAGTTATATTGCAGTCATGCAGAGAGGCTTCTACCAGCGAGTATGACTTAAAATCAACAAGTCTGTTCTCCAGATTACATTTTAGAATTATTATTCATCTGAGAAAGTATCATCAAGCACTACAGCTGTACAGGGTCTTGTACTCTGGCAAGGAACCTCAACGGAAAGGAACAATGCTGTCTCAAAGTGTACTTCATAATTGTGTGTTTGACTTTTTATAGCAACAATCCACACCTTGCAAAGTGCCCTTACAGGAGAGTTGTAGAATGGCCTATAGGCTATACTAGTAGATATGATGGACTACACCAGTTGCTGATAAAACACAAACTTTCTCCTGAGGCAAACAATATTATTTACACAAGCAGTATATTAGCATCCAGAGGCTCCCAAACAGAACTGAAGTTTCCATTGTGCAAGGTACTGTAGAAACACTTCATTGTAGACACACCTTGCTGTCCCAAAATTCTCACTGTTTAGTTAGAACCAGTGCAACCTGTAGGTGAAAGACAATTGGAAGAAATGGGGCCATGAGTGATTGAAAAGAGTTGATATGTAGACTAAGCCATGTGTTACAGAGATAGGCAGCTTCAAATCATTTAATAAAAAACTAGGTATGCATATAACTAAAATTAGGGTCAGATGGGGTTACACATTTTCTAATCACACAAAACCAAACACCTTGCCCCTTCTCTGAGACCCCCTTCCCCACTCACTCTACCCTCCCCCCCCCCCCCCTAGTTTGCTGTCCACCACCCTCATTCACTTGCTCATTTTCAGCAGGCTGGGATAAGGGAGAGGGTTCAGAGTGTGGGTTCAGGGTGGTGCTTACCTCAAGTGGCTCCTGGGAAGCAGCTGCCATGTCCCTCCAGCTCCTAGGCAGAGGCGTAGCCAGGTGACAATGTGCTGCGCCTGTCTGCAGGCACCTCCCCCACAGCTCCTATTGGCCAGAGTTCCTGGTCAATGGGAGCTGCGGAGCCAGTGCTTCAGGCAGGAGCAATGGGCAGAGCTTTTGTGGTCACCCCTGTGCCTAGGAACCATGAACCCTCACCAGCTGGACTCTTAAAAGTGCTGACTAGAGCCATCAGGGTCCCATTTTTGACCAGTGTTCTGATTGAAAACTGGATCCCTGTCAACCCTAGAGTCAGAATTCTCTCCTATGTACAAATTGGTTACTGATGTCTCATAAGTGAATTGCTACCAGCAGCCAGATATGCAATAGCTGGTTTCTAGAAACGGAGAGAGCTCCCAGTGTTAGTGGTGTGGAAAAGTACAGCATGGGAAAACATTTCAGTGGAAAAAATGACAGACAGCCTTATTCCAGGATCAAGTAGACTTTATAATGTGTGGTTATTTCAGGAATTTGAACAAAATTAATACAAAGTTGTGTCTAAATCTTGCAGACTCTTTCTTCATAACATCTCTAAGATATGGCATTTACTATTCCTCCACAAAGCTAAAACTCTCACCTAGACTCTCATCTCAGTTATGGCAGCATCCTCTTCACTGGCTTTGGCAAGAGCGATCTTGCCACATGCCTGCTCTAGACGGATTATGTTTGACACGGGTCTCTTTTAAAAATCTAAGTACCGCATCTCCAAGGATGACTCAAGCAAGAGTTGGTTGATGCTTTGTAGATACATGGAACAATGCAATATAAATGCTAAATATAGCATGAAAAAAACACATTTTTATAAATTTGGACTATGTTGCTCAGACTTCACTGTAAATGACAACTCTCGTGTAAATGGCAGTAAATGTGGGGGTGTAGCAGGAGACGTGAATAACAAACAACTTGCATGTCAGATTTACAGGACATCTTGCTCCCAATTCCTTTAATCTAATTTATGGTAACGGGTGATGCTCTTTTGTTGCTGTTTTTACAGAACTGAAAGTCACTTCCTTCCTTCACCACACTACACTCAAAGGGCACTGAGTGACATTGAAGGCTGGAAATCTTTCCCTGTGGAGTGTGAAAATCACTAGAAATTGGTTTCTTACTTAGACTGAGGGGAAGCAAGCCTTGTGGACGGTGACTCAGATGCTGCTTATCATGAGTCTCACCCATACTTACAAACACTCTCTTCGTCCTGGTTAGGTGTCTGATGAGTGGGAGAGAGTGTGCATGGGGGGGGGGGGTTCCTTTATGTTTTCTAGATTAGCTCAGGTTTGGGGGAGCTTGATCACTCAGCTCCCACCAAGCCACGCAAAGCTACACCTGCACTTTGAAGGCAGAACACAATGCTGCTTATCATGAGTCTCACCCATACTTACAAACACTCTCTTCGTCCTGGTTAGGTGTCTGATGAGTGGGAGAGAGTGTGCATGGGGGGGGGGGGTTCCTTTATGTTTTCTAGATTAGCTCAGGTTTGGGGGAGCTTGATCACTCAGCTCCCACCAAGCCACGCAAAGCTACACCTGCACTTTGAAGGCAGAACACAACCTTGGTGGGCATTAGCTGAGGATGGGAGAGGGAAGGGAGACTGTGTGGCTT